TGTCTGTCAGTAAGTTCGCACCTTATCGACCATTTCGCCCCATCACTTGGACCTGATTTTGTGTGCACTACACGAGGAATGATCCCGTCCCATGCCTTTGCGACTTTGGCCCCACCGACCCTTCCCCCCCGAGGGTCGCGAAAAGCTCCGGGTTTTTCTTCAATATGCACTATTACGTCATCGTCATTCCAAGATGGCGCACTCGCACCAGACCTGGCAGGACCTTGGGCTTTGACTGCCGGGCTCAAGCGAGCGTTGCTTCAAGCGTACACTTTCGATGAACTGCCGCCTGTTCAATCGTATACTCATGATGACCAAGATCACCGGGGTCGGGTGTCGTCGGGAGCGGCTTCTCCGCTGACTCCGCCAAGGATATCGACTCCTTCCGCGAACCCTCGACGGGAAAATTCCAGCCTTCAATTCTCATCTCAACCCTATTGACCGAACTCTAGATCATTTTCTCCGGACTCATGATCCGTAAGAATAATCAGGGGACTGGAACATCCAGTGCCCCTTACAACGGACTTCCTCGATTTACTCAAACCAAGACGGCGAAGTCGGCAGTTTTCCTTTATCCCTTACCCGTACTAACTCGGACTCAAGGACGGGTTGTCGTCTCCCGAGCGGACAATCCGGTCGAACAACAATCCAGCCGGCTATAGAATAAAAGCGCAAGCGCTACATCTGTGGGCAGTTTTTCGGGTCTTTCTCCTCACCGATTTCGGCACCAAGTAATTCTGCGGTCGGGGGATGATTCCCCGGTGAGTGAATTGATGTTTTTTTTCTCATCTTCTACCCTTCCGCCCAGAGATTGTCAATAACTCCTTCCACTTCCCCTCCAAACTCATGTGGTGCTAAGTCACGCAGTGCTTCAATTGTGGTTCGAAAGGCACGGATTCCATTCGCTAGGGCGGACATCGTTCCCTTTATTCGTGCTCGGTGATCGCTGACGGTGAATTACGTCATTCTCGCAACTCGATCTAATGAATGTTCTTCAACACATTCCCGACTCATACCCGCAGTCTTCGTAGCATGAGCAAGGTCGAGAAATAAATTCCGAATGAGATCTCAACGTCTACAATATCTGGATCAGCACTGCGGCGAGTCTTCCTTGCGGTGCTCATTTCCCATTCACGCTCCGGGGAGAAATCTTTCGAGTTATCGTAGCCCCGTTGCGTCCAAGATCTCGATCGTGACTTGAGATTCCGGCTTCACCCCCCGACCAGTGTCGACCCGGAACTCGAACCGCCTTCCGAAGCCAGGGTGGCGAAGCCTTCTCGCGGTCCGAGGCCGCGTTCTCGACCCGGCAGCTCAACTACCGAACTCGACCCAGGCATTCCAATGATTGCGATCGAATTCTCGAATTCTCGATTACGGATTCTCATGCACCCCCGGAAACGATTCTTCTTCTGTTTCTCGCTTTCTCCCCACGAATTATTTCCCATCGTCACTCCTGCAGCCCTCGAGGGGGATTCGAAACGCACAATATCAACAGCGACGCTTCATCTATATATACGGAAGAGACGATGAGAATGAAACGGGAAGCAAGATCTTTTATTCCTCCTCTCGGGAGATCTATATAGGGTATATACTATACGTCGAGCACCGCATAGGTCAAACCCTCCCTTCACTGGCTGAACGGGAAAAAAACTTCTCTATCTACACTCATTCATCGAATTACGGTAGCAATGAGTAAAAATCGAGAGCTCATAGTTTCCCGTGCGCCCTCCGGAATTTCTGTTTGGTACCGTCCGATAAAGCACACGCTCGCCTCGTTACGAGGCAAGAATCCCGAGTCATTCTACCGCTCTCCATACATGCGGTATTTCCTTACTTCGCCGACGCATGAAAAATCGGGGAGCGAAATTTTCGACACCAGAAACCCTTTTTCATGTCCCCTTCATGCCCTATCCGTGCCGATGTCCCCTTTTCCTCGCTACTATTCCGCATCCGAATAAATTGTGTTGGTTCCTTACCAGCGAGCGGTCATGCACCTGAGTCATCAAGTCTCAGCAGGCCTCGAGCCTGATCTCAACTGGAAACCTTAACAAAGAATTGCGATTCATGCAACGATGACGATCGGCTTGCTCGAGCGGGAAATGTTTTTTAACGCCTGTTCCTCGTCGGGGCATATGCAGAGTGTCTGCAATAGATATGTTCCGTCACGAAGTTCGGCAATTGGAAGATGCGAGGCTCATCATTGGGACGGAAATTCCCGCCGAAGAAAACTCCATGATTAGAGAAACCCATGCTAGCTTTCAAGATGAGAGCTCTTGCTTGTACTTGAGATCGGAATTCGGAATCCGCAGAATCGAATTTCGAATTCACAATCTACCCCGCGGCAGAACACCCCATTCGACCGTGAGCGTTCAGCCGCGGTAGGAATCCCTCGCCGCGAGACTGTTCGGTAACGAGGCACTCTGCCGCGAGACTGATCGGCAGCAGGACGAGCCGGACCCTCAGCAGCATATGTTCGCTGACGAAGCGCTTTGAAATCATTCTCAAATCCTTCCGAGCTCATCTCGTGCAGCTTACTTCCTCCCCGAACTTGATTCCTTCATCCCATGCCCATCAGACGGACTAACTGCTTCAAGTCCGAATAATCTTCTCACTAAATGAGTCAGTCTAATCAGTCAGTTTTCCTAAATCTCGGACGATTGTCAGCTCCATGACGACGAAGATCCAAGACTCCGCTGAATCCACTGGCTCATTCGTGGGAGCTAACCGCGAGAAATTCAACCTGTTGGCCGCAAAGGCCATCGAATGCCCGTGTCTGACCGAGGAGCACTCCAAGATCGATAGTCTTGAGGAGACAACGCTTGTTATGCCATGATTGAGCTTAAGATGTACCCAGTGGCGGATTTTCGATTTTGCCGCCCAAGGCTTAATCAGGCCCGCCGCCCTGATACAACCCATTTAAGAATCCTGATCCTGTCTGGCGCTTGCACCAAGCTATTAAGATTCCATCTCTATTCCACTAAGAGCCTGTGGGATCCACAGAGTTGAAAATCGTGACTCGTCGATCCCAGATAAGGGGGTAGAAGGTTTCCTCTTCAGAATACTTGATCGGGTATGATCTCAGGGATCATCCAACACATTGATTCTTGCTATTCGTTTCTGGAACGGCTCCCCGCCGTTATTCTGACAGCTTCGAGCTCATGGACAGAGTTGACGTCCTCGTCTGGGACTGGAATAATTCCACTGAATCGTCGAGAATCCTACGAGCTCTAAGCAGGGATTAGTCGTCCCCGAAATTAGCCGCCCCAGTCTATAGCCTACTAAGTCTACTGGGTTAATTCGCCACTGCTTATACCAAAAAACGAGTCAAATCAAGGGATTCCTCTTCGATGGGCGGCAATGTTTCCCGAAACTATACCTCGCAAGCAGCCTGTAGCCTGAGCCAGACTGTCAGCCCTTTCGAACTCCCGGGTACTGAGCGACCAAGCCTTTCTGATTCTCATCTTGTTTCTCTTCGTCTTGTTTCGCCTTATTGTCCGACTTCTCCCTCGAGTCAATCGTGCCTCCCAAAGGCAGGACCTTCCCGGAAAGAGGTAGGAGATGTTTGCGACCTCCGCCGAATCCGCATCCTATCGGAGGCCGACGAGTCAGGGAAAATTCAGGGGACGGCTTCTCGATGAGATCCCGACAGGATATGCGGTTTCGGCCGTCAGAATCTAAGCGAGAGCACTTTTGTGGAAGTATGGACTCATGCGATCGACGGAATGACGCATTTCATCTTCTTCGCCGTTGGCCTAGCCGTGAATGTAACTTCCGACGCCGGCTCAAATGCTTGGAAGAAGCCAGAATCTGCCGCCTCTAAGAGGGAGTGGGGAGGAAGAGATTCGACTCTCCGTGTCGCACTTGAATTCTACCACGTCCACTCAGGAGGCTCAGGCCACCTTGGGGAGAACTTGTTTTACGACGTCTAAATCGCAAGCTCGGAACCCGTCCCTCACCCGTACCGCTTGGTTGAAGATGGCATACGCGCATTGTCTGCATCGAGCCGTCAGGTTCTGCTATCACGTGAGCGACCGATGCTTACCGTGACGGGAAGGTTCGCATACGCTGAATTCTTGTTCTATCCGCTTGTTTTCGTGGTCCGAGAACGCAAGCGATCGTAATGTCTCCATTACGTGTTCGTACCGCTGTTGACATCTCAGGATGATAACACGGAGTGATTCAACACGGTCTCAGAGGACCCAAAGTTTCGGATAAACAAGCGCGAAATCGCGTTTCTCCTAACGTTTCGATACTGACGGGCGGAATCCCATCTCTAGGGAGTCTGCATCAACGAAAAGCTGCCGAGGAGGGACGCCCTAAAGGGGGCCAGGAGCCTCGAAAATTTTGCCACTCTCCTTACCCAAGAGGAAGTATATTACCTTCCCGAAATGATTATTGTTTCCCCAAGTCGACTCCCTCAAGGTTTTTCATCGAAGCTCACGATGATTCACGCTCAACCTGAGCGATCCAAAAGTTTGGTTCGGCAGAACATCTCAGCTTTCATCATCAGGAATCTCAGAATCAGCGAAAGATCCTACCGAGGACTGTGCTGGCTGCGTCAGCTTTCATCAGGAAGCAGACCGGCGTAAGACGTCAGGGTCACCCGAGAGATATCCCACGGAACGTCGGGGAATACTGAAACTGTCTGAGACTAGACACTGAACCCCTGACCGACTGACAATCAGTGTGGAGCCTCAAGTTTCAGGGCGTTCGTCTCTCGGGGAAGCCGTGCGTCAAAGACCAACTAGCTCGAGAGGAGGCGTCGATTGATAAAGAAGACAGGTCTGCGGTTCAGCAAGCTCCTCATAGAAACGCTTTTGCGGTCGAGCATTGTGAGCTATATTTTTGCGTCATTCCAGACTCTCCCAAGCAGATAAAGCGAGACAGTGGACACGTATGCATCGTTTGGGTACTCAGTTTAGCCCTTGCTCCGTGAACGGCAGCGCATACATTCTCTCCGATGGCGTGAACTCTCGCTCAGCGTCACCACCGGGAGCGTCACTCGACGGCTGCGCGAGCCGTGGAAAGCCGGCTAAAAGGTCGACGGACTGCATACGAAAGCAGATTGGCGTTCCGCATAAGCCGAATCCCCGGCTTTGAATCCATTCGGTTCGTGGTAGGGAGTTGTGCAGCGTTCTGTGATGATGTGAGATTGCTTCTGTGATTTCGTGATCATCTGATTCACTCAGTATTTAGATGGGCTCAAAAAGAAGAGTCCTTGATCACGAAATGGTTTCGACCCGTCACAACCCAGTGACTCATGTCACTCAACGAGACAGTATTTCAGACGCACCTCCTCGATCAACAAGTGCTTCAAACGATTGGCGGCTGAAAAGGCTTGACAGCAGAAAATACAGGGTTCTCCGCTTTTCCATCGCAGACCGATATCTTCGGATTCTGTCAGGTAAGAGTAAAGGTCGTGTGGGTAAGAGAGAACTTCTGACTCAGTTTTTCGGGAAACTTCAATTTCGTATTCTCCCTATGATAAGGGCATATTCGCCACTATCATTCTCTCCGCTTGTGGTGTATCAATGAACTATGTACGTTCTACTTCCCTGATGGAAGGCTTTCTTCTGTTTCTCAATCAGGCGTTCGAGTCGAAGGAGTGAAAACTTCGATAGTGCTGCATATGACTGCGTCCATACAGACCGTATCTCCCGCTAGGCGGACGATCGGATTGGAATGTGGATTGTCCTGGAAATGGTTATCCCGGTAGGAATGTTTGGTTCGAGCAATTTCCTCCGTAGGATGCCCGTATTATCGATTGGCGTGCGCGTTCCCGTTTAACTCTCATGAGTTTTTAGCCTATGCCAGGTTTGAGTTCCCACTCAGTGGTTCGAGAAATTCCGCGTTGCCATCCAGGAAAGTTCATTTACTCCGGGGACCCGTCTTTGGGAGGGATTTTTTGATCGGTCATGCCCGCGAACTCTCGGAGGGAATAATCATTAGCCCTCTATGGCTCAACGGGAATGGTCTCTATCATGGGAAGATTAATTAGCTATCTATGGCTCAACGGGAATGGCCTCTATCATGGGAAGAAAACTAGCCCCGGAAGAACGAATCAAATGCATCCGCTCCGAGCTGGATCTTCCGGTCAGAGCCAAGGATAGAACGGAGGTCGCTCAAGAGCCCTTATCCCTTCCGTCATTGGCCACTGTGTCCTTCACTGCACTATTCGTGAACATCGGCATGGTCGCTATGCCAGCGGATTTCCATCCGGGACTATGCATCGGGAGAACTATCTGGGGGTTGCGGTCGAACGGTTTCCTTCCTACCCTGTTTTCCCTATAGAAGCCCGTTGTGAGATCGCTATTGCAAAACGAGGCTGTTGACGTTCCCAGCCTCGGATAGGTAGCTCTAAATGCTCCCGCGACTGAAATCTATTCTGATAGCTAAGCTATTCTACGACTCCCACAGAAATGAAGGATCGAGCTGGGGGCGAGGCCCATAGATCCAAGGTGAGTCTCCCAATCTTTTCGAGTGTGCAATCACCCGGCGGTTCCTCGCATGCAAAACTGAACTCCTTTCATTGCAGATACGAGCGATTCCCTTCCCCCCAGGAGTGGGAGAGAAAAGCCGAGCGACCCAACAGTGAGTTGGAAGCCAAGAATCTTTGTATCGAACGCGCTCTAGATACTTCAAATACTTGGGGGAAGTAACGAATGTCTTCATCCAAACAGCAGGACTGTCGGTCCCGACCGAACAGCCGAACCCGAAGCAAGGATCGAACAGTAGCTCGCCGTCCACGACTCCGGTCGAACCCACAAGATCTCAGCTCTGGTAGACCACGGCCACGATGGTCTGCCCCCAGGCTCAACCTAGGATGAATCATATCCATTGTATATTTCTACTAAAATTCAATACAGCCCCTCTATTTTAAGCAGATGTATAATATTCTCGGTCTATTCCCGAGTGTCGATATTCTCCATCTTGACTCTTCTGTGATCTGAACTCCCAGCCAGATTCAGGGGCTGGAATATTTTTCGAGGGAGTGCAAAATCAACAATACGATAGAATACCCGATAGAATATTGATGCCTGCGGGAGACCAGGGGTCTGCGGAGCAGTCGCAGCCTGGATCTTTTCCATGGAAGAGAATAGAAAACAAGCAAGTAGGGCCATCGGGCTTGTACTCTTATACATAGACACTCTCTATGCTGATATAATTCTCTCCCACGAACTTTTCCGAAACCTTGATAGATTTCCATCGACCTCTAGGGTTCCTGCGAGAAACCACACATTTCATATATCGGCGGCTGGGAGTTGTGAAGCTTGATTGGATCCACAGTCCCACAGCTTGTGATTAGCTCACTGACTACGAGAGGGGGGATAGATTTCTCTGAGCAGTAACGCGCGCATGATAATCATTCAGAGGCCGATGTGTGGATTCCGAGCCGTCTAATTCATTTATACACTTGGTGGCGGCTGTCTCAGCTTCTCGTCGATCTTTGCCCCCATTTGGCATCAGCATGGAAACAACATGCAAGCAATATAGGTAGTAGAGGCGTCAACGATACAGACCATTGAGACAGATCTCCACTTGAAGATAATACGCGATCTAGCCATGCATCGATGTTTGTGGGCAATCCCCGGCACGTCTGAGCATGTCCCGCTGCCTACCACGTGGCAGTGTCATTGCACCGGGAAAACTCTCACGGCGGAGGCAAGGGAACGCACACCGAGCGTTATTGCAGTGAGGCGCGCGACAGTGTGGACTGACGTCAGCAGCATGGCTCCGTTCAGAGGGGAACCGTCCGACAGAATCGATGGCGGCTTCTTGTCCCCATGGTCCTTGCGGCGCGGCGCCGCTCGGAGAATCCCAGCCGAAGCTCTCGAATACTTTCGCGCCAGTCTAGATGTATCTGAGAGACTCTGGAATGGTGGTCTGTGTTCGTAACCATTGTATGCGTCGTATCGTACACATTCGCCCCCTACCTCGGTACGATTGTGGAAGGTCTCGGAACGGGGCCTGAGCCTCGCGAAGCGATCCCACAGCCGGCGGGACGAACTCTCACAGCTCAGCGACTATGTCCGACAACACTTCAAGTCGAGCTCTATGACAAGCACATATCCATTAGTCTCCAAATTAGAATGGCTCTAGATCAAGGTTAAGCCCACATCTGACGCGAGGATTCGCTGAGGAAAGTTTCGGCGGAGTGACGTGAGTTCCTTTCGCGGATCCTGCTATATTATGGAGTTGGCTGTATCGGGGGCTAGGTTGGAGTAGGGGATACAGCTTTGGAACAGGTCGCCATCCTGCCGGGCATGCTTTTATCGATATAATACCAGGAATGATTCTCGACACTGGCCGATGCTCGCGGTCAACCCCTGCAGAGAATGTTCATCAATTTTTCCCACGCTGGACGCATTCGGCTCTCTCGTTCGGAGCAGCAATACCAATGTCTTAATCATTAAATCGGTCGGTTCCTCCCCCTTTGGCATCGAGGGGGGGCAATCTTCATCGCTCTCGAAGACCGCCTGCGCAAACCTGACATGAGATTCCGTTCACGTTTTCGCCGAATGGACGGCCACTCAATGTCAGAATTCTGTCGACACCACGATAAGAAGAATGTTTATTGACCGTCTCCTGGGCTTGTATCTGCATCATTACTGAAGAAAGACACTTCGCTGACGATCATTCTCAGATACAATACTTTCCAAAAGAAAGGGTGCTCAAGCCCGAGCGAAGAGTAGGTACTTGTTCGTAGTCAAGGATTATAACCCGCTTCCACGATCCACTTTTCCTCGAACGAGAATTATCGCTCACTGATCACCTTCTCGAGAAGTCTGAACAGAATTGCTTTACATGGGAAGTCATTCATCCTCGTATCCGAGCCGCAGAAAAGCTGAATGATTGGAATCAGGGTCCGATAAGGGGGTCAAACTTCCCCGTGTCCCGAGAATTATCATGCTCAGCAAGCAACGACGACTCGACTTGGGATCGAATGAAGAAGATGGGACACCGAACAAACATACCGATTCACTTTCGAGGGACACCTACGCCGAGTCCTCCCGACGCGACGGAAGAACTCCTGATATCTATCAGAAATTCGTGCGCCCGGCAGAACTTCGCTCGGTTACTCAATCGGCATGGCGTAGATCTAGAGTAACGAGCGTTTGCCGCGACAAATTCGAGAATAAAGAGAAAACTTACACGGAGTTTTTTTATGATTCACGGCAGAAAAGAGACTTTGTTGCAGCAGCGTCGATGATCTACCCAACAAGGTCACCGTCGGCTTTCAGTACTGACCTGAGAGTCTAAAATCAAAACACCGAGTCATAAACATTTACCGGTTGTTCAAGTTCGCATCGATTGAATACCTTGACACGCTCAAGACACCGATTGTAAATCGTGACATGACAATTTCCTCAGGGTGAATAAAGAAAGCACCGATGAGAGACGAAATCGCATACCGAAAGGAAAATATCATACGAGCCGCTGTACAATGAGTTCGGGGGATACGAGGGCAGCTATTCATCGAGAACCCGGAGCTCTTTTTCGTAGGAATCGACCACATGGGAGGGGCGGTGGAGTCTGCCTGATGGTTCGCAAAGGAGTGACCTGCATAGACGTCCTCCCCCGGAACGTGGGCTGTGAACTGTTCGCTGTGGACATCTTCGGTATTCGTCTATTCTGCGAATATTGTCCTCCTACGGGTACTTCGGAATAACTTTGAAAGAGTATCTGAACGCTCTGTGAGGTTATGGAGTCTATCTGTTTTTTGAGCACGCTATCATTATCGTGGGTGACTTTAATTTCCCGTCGATAGATTGGTCCTCCCCGTTGGTTCTCACAAACGATACTTCGAGGGAAAATATCTTCCTTCAATTCGGCGTTCTCAACTCCCTATCCCAAATGATACTTGAGGTTACGCGTCCCTCGAGTCGCAACATACTGGACCTACTCTTGACATCACGTTCCGATTCGACCTTGAATCTGTCTGTAGATATTGCCCCGGTCAGAACTGATCGTCCAGCGCTTTGGTTTGACATCTCTCTATGCTTCGGGACACCATCCTCGCCACACTCAAAGCTCGAGTTCCGGAGAGCAGACTATGAGTTGATTGGCTGCACCCTGGCGGCGACGCATTGGAACTTGTTTTTCTCTCACTGTAATGATGTAGAGAACATGTAAGATCGTCTCCTCCAGGAACTGCGTTTTCTGTTCTCCATTCAGGTCTAACCTTGGAGAGATCGTCTCACCGGTGTGGACAAGCGTATTGGTCGCACGACTGAACGTCTTGTAAATGCTTCTCCCGGTAATCGAGAGCGAATTCAGCGTGATCTTGACAGAGTATCCCGCCGTCAGTGGATTCTCCATGAGTCCCAGCTATCGACGAGAAGCCGCGGGCTTGCTCTAATCATTTATTTATAGCTCATCGATACTGCTCATGAAGATCATTTACTTGGTTCGCTTGTCAAATGAACGGTTTGTACCGGAGGAATTATAACACACATGTGGAGCAAAAGTTGATGGTTTGAGGAGTGGTATCGCACCTGAAACATGGAATAACAACCACCGCCGCTCGGACGGTGCTACATTGCGTTCATCGTTGGAACATCGTTAGAAAACGAAATTATCTGATACGCCCAGCGACAATTAGGTGATCGACTGACATTGCTTTAGGATCCGTTTCAAAGCCGGACGAGTCGAGTTGCTCGTGGATCATTTTTTTTCTTCTCGAAGCTCACAATGAACAAGCCGTAGGTGACGTAAGTGTTCGATAAGAAGATAAGCGGCAAACACCAGTTGCATCAATATACCGAATCGGTCAGTCGGTCGGTCGGTCAGTCAGTCAGTCAATCAGATGGTGGGACACTCATCATTCGGTTAGAAATCGGCCTCCTCTCATGATGCTCTGACTTATTATATGCGATTAACCCGGTTTCATAAGGATGCGACATTCGGAAATTGATTGTCTGCCTTAGGTGGTTAATTAAGCTTCAAATTGTTTCATTATTGACTTCGGGTTATTCCACGGACCCTGCTCAAGGTCGACATTGTTGAAAGTACCCACGGTGAGGAGATTGCTACATTCGAAACTCTTTGTTGAGAGATCCTGAGACATGTACGACTCCAGGCGCGTTCCGTCGGTCATCGGATAACAAAGCTTGGTTCCCGTCGAATTTATGAGACAGAGTCTTTCCTTCTCGTCTCTTCATGACACCATGAAGGGGCATCGTATGGAAATTCCGATAAGAGAGGCGTCCGGAAAGTTATGGCGGGCCCTAAGACCCATCTGAATATTTCACTCATTATTCGTGGGCCCCATTGAGCTTCACCTGCCTTATCGCCTTCGAAGGATGTCGGGATGAATCCTCAAAAAAATCTCAGACAATAGTTACAATGCGGGGCATCGTGGGCAAGCTTGAACGTCAGCAGCATCAAAATTTCGGCGGCGCGAGATGCAAATCACGACCGGAATGATTTCTTGAGAAAAAAGAAAGCCCGCCGTTTGCACAATGTCTGTGAGACCGCAATCCAAAACGGACTTTTCTGAATTTGAATTGACTTTTATAAAGTGCTGCCGTGCTCGTGGTCGTGGTCATTGTCGTCGTGCTCGTCGTCGCTGTTGTTGTGATGCTGGTTGCGCGATTTCACGCCACGGATCTAAGCGACGCCTCGGGCAATCATCCGTGGGTTTCAGATGTCAAAGGCCGAAGTCCAAGCCGGAATGATTTTGGGCACTGCTGTTGTTGGCGCTGCCGCTTCTGCCAACGCAATTGTGTTCATGGAGATAACGATGATGGAGATCCCTATCTGTGTGATTGATTCATCTGCCGAAGGTCACGACAGAACTTTTGCCAGTATCCGCGCTCGAGCAAAGACGAAGTGAACGCCAGATAACCGGATCAAACTTCGAGGTGGAATGGACCGCTCTCACGTCGATTGTTCTTTAATCGATCCATGGAAGGGGCTTTTTCTCATAGCCGACACCGCCAGAGAAAGTTTCGTCGGCTGAGTTCTGAATGAGCGTACTTTCCTGAAGGGCAGATTGCAGAGAAGAGAACAATACGCTCCTAGTCGTGATTGATGTCACTCGCAAAAAGCGAGAGATTATGTCACCTGATGAGCGTTCAGCTTAATTCGCTCCGCGCTTTATCAATGGGTTGTCTTATTTCGCACTCGAGCCATGCCCAAGGTTGAAGTGAATGATGGAAAATTCCAGCTCCGACTGAGAATCTTCTTCTCGGAACTCTTCCGCGACGTGAATGGCATGCTAGATGAAGCGAATCGATGCTGCTCAAAAAGTCTGCATCGTCGCCCTCCGTGCTATTTCCAGCCTGCCCGAGTCTTCCTGGAACGAAGAATGCTGTCACCTTTCGAAATCCCGTTTGAAGCGTGGATCGTAGTAGTTCTGAACTTCTGTCGGAAAGAATGCATCTCACGAGGATCAGAATTTCCCTTAGCGTGGGAGCCCCTCGAAAGGTGCGATGAGGGATGAGGGACAGGGTCTTGAGGTGCCTGTCAGAGGACGATTCGCTTCCTGGGAGCTACTTTCTTCATCCGATTCTCGACCGTGTCGGATTTTCGGTACATTCCCCGATCACCCAGAAAACATTGCTGAGTGAGAATTGCTTCTCACTGCAGTTTTCTCCGAGAAAGCCATGTAACGGTAAACTTCGATGACGAGGACACTCGACCCAAGAACTGTGAGTTCTCCTTAGCCGAAAGCAATGAACACTTCCCTCGCCTGTTTGATTCTGCTGTTGTTGCCGTGCCTGTTCCAGAGTTGTCGTCGATGACAGGATTGTGTTATTGCAGGTGACCCACCAGATGGCACTTTCCGTCTGTTTGTCTATCGTTCCGTTCGCTCGACCGAGCGACCGACCAACTGGCAGGCGAGACAGGCTGCCGCTCGTCATAACCGAAGTCGTTCCCGATGGACATTCAAACTCACGCGGACCAAGTGACCAAGCGACTTTCACATGAGCAGGAGGGCAGACAGACAGACACTAGGTCAGACCGACAGACGGACGCGCTAACATACACACAATGGTTTGATGGAAGCTGGCGTCATGGCTCGCTGCTGGCGCAACTTACACCCTTGCCCGGGGCCGGTCTACCGCATATATATCTGCCGCGCGCATCTTTCCCCCCACAACAGTGCTTCATCTGACGGGGCTCAACATGAGAGCCAGGGTGATCGTAAGTGTTCTCCGATGAGCTTTCACCTCTCAACGATTTGTTTTCGCCGAAGTTCCCGGACCCGAGTCCGACGGGATAGAATGTGCGGGAAGTGACAGGTGTTCTGACTCGGATAATATTGGTTGCAGGCTCTCGCTCTTTTCGGCTGCCTAGCAGCTCACTCCGTTCATGCGGGTAACTTCGGCGGAGGTGGTGGCGGAGGAGGTGGCTGGTCGGGAGGTGGCGGAGGTGGAGGTGGCTGGTCCGGCGGAGGGGGAGGTGGTGGTGGTTGGTCCGGAGGCGGAGGAGGAGGTGGAGGCGGTTGGTCCGGAGGTGGCGGTGGGGGTCATGGCGGAGGTGGCAGACAATCCGCGATCATTCTAGTCAAAGGTGGAGGAGGAGGCGGAGGCGGACACGGCGGGGGTTCTCTCACCGTGGCCGGACCCACCCACGTGATCAAGACCATCCATCAAGTCAGAACTTTGGACCAAGGAGGGAAAATCCTATCGAAATCCGGAGGAGGCGGAGGCAGTGGAGGTACCGCCAAGATCCTGGTTGTGAAGTCTGTCGGCACCGCGCAAATTAAACATGCAGGGGGAGGAGGAGGTGGACACGGCGGAGGCGGCGGATGGTCTGGAGGAGGCGGAGGTGGTTACGGAGGAGGTGGACACGGCGGAGGAGGCTGGTCCGCAGGTGGTGGCGGCGGCGGCGGTGGATGGTCAGGAGGCGGCGGAGGAGGTGGATGGTCTGGAGGAGGCGGTGGCGGTCGCGGAGGATGGTGAAGCCCTCGAAACACCCACACTCTTTGGCCAATTCTGAGCTGACACTCAAGTGTCGTTTCCTACTCCGGGCCCGGGTCCCCTTCCTGTTCCTCACGTTCAGGAGTGTAGATAGCTTCAACTTCAAGAACATTGTTGTATATAATGTCATCATTCCCATTGATTGTTACTATGATATCGAACAAAGGATGAAGCGATCTCCGATAAATCAGAACCGCATACGTCCCGAGAGCAAAGAAAATAAATACCACTGTTCTGACGAATGAAATCCATGCCCTTCTCGCTGAGAACAGCCGCTGAAACACTTCGTCTAAGCTGTTGCTGGACTGAGTCAAAAACAAACGAACCTGACCTGCGGCGAAGTCTGAAACAAATAAGAGGGGATACGGACTCTATCATCAAGGTACAGATGGGTTCTTATAAAGTCCCTTCAGTGCTGTGAAAAGATCCCTGAACTGGAAAGTTCGCTGAGAGGGGCCTTACTCGACATTTGGTCCGATGAGCGACGAGGCTTCCCGTTCCGAGCGATGCGCGTCGCCCAATTTAGATTCACAAAAGGCTTCAAGCCTTGTGTTCACGAAGACAATACAGCAGACCTACAGCTTCCCGAACACATTGATTCACCAATTGGACCGCTCAATCCTGCATATAGATTGCTGCAGGTCGTCGCGCTCCCGCAGGATATAAACTGAGACTTCGGAAACCTCGAAACGTCCGAGATCCACTCCGTTCCCCCCCGGAATATGAGGGAGTTCGTTAAGCTGATCGGATCAGTCCGCCATGCGGGTCAATGGTTACACTTCAAGGAGGTTCATCATCGGGAGCGTTCATTGTCCGAGGCGCTTGGTAACGGGGCCCCACTGAAGTATCCATCTGGCTGTTTAGGGGCAATTTCGAATATATGTGTTTTCTGATTCACGAATCTGGCTGTCTTCAGAAACGATTGATAATTTTCGCGAATTCTCGTTCGAGTTTAGAATGATGCCAGAACTCCATCGCTTTTGGGACGCAGTTCAAGGTCCCTGGGATCAGAGCGGAGAAAAAGGCCCCGGTGAACATAGAGAAGAAAGTCTCAGACCTATCCCGCAGTATGGGAACCAAATGCGGAGAGTCGGGGCCCCATGATGGACCGCGGAACAAGTCTTGCCACACATCATATCTTGATTCTGGATCAATAGATAATATATATATAAGATGAAATGGACGATATGTAGGAATATCTACAATCCAGCTGCATCCGGCACCTGAAATTTTTTGGCAGAGTGAGGACTGTCCCTATCGATATACCTTATCGACGATCTGTTGAGGATCAGACCCCACTGAAGCCGTCATTACGTCCATAGCTTGCCCCGGGATTATTATTTTCAAGTATTCGTCACGCATTTGGCCGATAGATGCCTCTCCCGTCGAATATATCCATCGTCTGTAAGGGATCACGAAGTCGGGAGAGCTCTATGATCTGGTCCGATAAAATGGCACGCCATTCCGATTCTGGTGGATGACTTGAGACTCCTCCCTCAGGAGGACGCTCATGGAAATCAGGTCGTTGAGTCTGATTCAAGAGGTTGAAGATTCCGTACAGAGACCGGCACGGCGCTTGAGCGAGCTATTGAGGCCATTCGGCCATTCCGCGATGTTTTGACCCTTCAGCGACTAAGGACATCGACTAGGTTTGTGACCGCAGTTTTGTGATAATGCTTGTGAAAACAAAGGATTGTCCGCACGAAGCTTTTAGAACGAGGGAAGTCTCTATTTATTCCTCTCCCGATTCCATTGTCCATCGGATGCGTCAACCGGTCGCGACCGGTCGCCAGCGTCCGAAGTCTAGCTGAGTATCCATCCCTAAAGATATTTCAGTCGGTGATGAGATGCATATCGACGCCGCGGACCCTGGTGTCATCAGGAAAAAACGACTTCAAAACATCCTAGAGATGAATACGCTTTCGTAATGCCACCATGCTCGCGTTAAGAATACTTCTTCCACGGCAGGATCTTCCGCGGCTGTCTGAACCCTTCGTTCCGCTCTTTTCATAACCGTGCTCTTCGCTCCGACGATAGCCTGTCCGTCCTCAATTTTGAGAGCCACGAAATATGCGATGCTGCCGGAAGACTTATTCTTTGGAATTCGTCCCGATCCGCCTCCCTGGCCATCCCAGCTCTGCGAGTAGTCCTTTCCACGTATCAGAGCGTTAGGCTCATGTATTATTCATGGGTCATTCCTTGGTATTTGTCGTCGAGAGAGGTCTCGGAATCTAGAAGAAGTTTCCGATCCTTACGGTCTAATCCAGACTCTATAATAATCGATGTGACCACACCGAAGAGTAGCCCGCTAAATGAGACCGACGTACTTCTCCGGCTCGCCATCCACGATAATCGTCTCCTGGACAATTGACATTTGTACTTCGCGACACGAGCCGCGGTAAATAACTAACCATATGAACGATTCAAGAATATCCTACAGTTCAAATCACAAGTCTCCTTCGGAGCTCAATTCTACAACCCTTCGTCTTGCTTTGCGAGCAACGCAGCGTGCTATCTGTGAGGCACTCAATGTGGGTCCACCACCAGGTGGAATGAAGTTTTTCAGAGGTGGAAGATCCCCGCTGCGAGCGCCAATTCGCTCCTTAAGGAACGGGATCGCCGTCGCACCAAATCGAGCCCGGAATCAAGGAAACCAGCGAGTTTCTAGCCTCGGGCGAGTCACAGCCGCAGCGGATTCTAGCCTGGGAGCGAATGATTTTCGATGACTAAAATCCTTCAGCTCCCCCGTCGGCGCGTTCTGCGGCGTAGCGGTGCCGGACTATAGATCTCCTTCAGGCACTGGATTTCGATCGTCCTACTTCCTGAAAGTTCTCCGAAGTCTTGAAACTGCACGCGTGACAGATTGGCGAGCTGAGCTCGTCCAGAGCGCCTAGGGCTCCGGAGAGCGGATCGAGCATGGGCCTGCGGTCGCCACTGTATGTCATCGTGTGTCACCCTCTGTCACGGGTGCCCGGCGTTTTTCTTTCACGGTCTCTCATCATTTGCGGACTCGAAAATATCGCCAGCTGGGGACAGTTATTCCATCTGATTGTGATGCTCCACGAAAACGGAGAGAAATCAAAGGGACGATACAGGCCGAAACAATCCATTGGAGACAATGAGCGAGGAGCTCAAGCGAAAGTGTCTGAATGCATGATTCCTGAGTCCGAATGCAAGATTCCTCTGCGTGATACAGTAGCGTGACTCTCACAGTGACGAAATTCGAATTTGGCGCTGTAAGTTTCTAGTCTCGCGATGTAAACAACAGAGCGTGAAGAGAGAGCGCGCGAGTATCGGCGCTCCCCCCTGTGCTCTACTCGGAATCCGCTTCTCGACTTTGTGTTTCCGGGGATCGTGGTTCTGTGGATTTCAATGCAAATGTGAGGTCTGAGTGCAAGTGAGGACCGGCAGATCAGCTCTGAAAAATGAGTCATTCACTAGACTTAGTGGCGTCGCTTGCCTCAAATCTGGCTCACATGCTCCTGATTCAAGAGAAGACAAAACTCGGCCTGAAAAAGAGTGACATAATCAATCAAGTTCTGCGAGTGAGTTTCTACCACATCGACTGCCGGGGACGGAAGTTCCCATGCGCCCGCTGGCAGGGAATTCCTATGGTGATTCCTTCGGCAGCTTCATATCAATTCCAATTCTTTTCCAAACATGGATCTTTTGTCCTGTGCCCCCTAGGGTCACGCCGAGGATCGAGCTTCCACGACAAGGCTGCTGAAAGAAGTTCTCGAAGAAGCAAGTCGTCTTCTGGAGAACGCCTTCGGTTACAAGATCAAGGAGATTCCAGGAAAAGCTGTAAGGTGTCCCGATATACTCGAGTCGAAGCCTCACGTTCCATGATCGGAGTCGAGGATTGTGGCTTTTTCTCGGAAGGTCTCCGCCAGAATCTCTCCCAGTAGATCTGATTCAATACGAGCCTGATTTCAGCTCTTCATCCTTGTCAATACTTTGGACTTCGAGCAAGTTGAACAGTTCCTCGAAATAGATGGCGAATGGAAACAGATCCGCGGCTTCCTCTGCATCGTTCTCAGTTTCATCCTCATGTCGGGGGGCGAGATTCGAGACGAGCAGCTATGGGACTTCCTCAGGAATCTTAATGTGGCCGAAGATGACAAGTCAGTCGAGCAACGATCCCAATTGCGTGATTGGATGGTTTCTGGATGATCTCTATTCACGACTTGCACGTCCGAGAGATACGCGATGCTACTTAAATTCACTTCTTTTTCCAGGAGTCATCCGACGCTAGGCGACGTGGAGAAACTTGTCAAAACCACGTTCGTTCGATGGCATTACCTCGATTTGATTAAAGAGAGGCAAGGACTGAACTCTTTCAGGTGGGGTTCCGAGAGCTGCCCGGTCCGGGATATACCGCAGAAAACTGATTTCTGAACGACAGTCCCAGTAACGGGAACCTATAACCTCCTTAGTGAAGATATACATATGAAATCGACTTTCCCTTCCAATGCTCAACCCTCCCTGTGGATCTCGAGTCATTTTCCGACAGGACATATATTCCAGATGGGGAGTTCGCGCGGAGCACGAGTTCAACAAGATGGAGATGTTGAACTTTGTGGCGTCAATCTACGGCGATGGTCGCACAGCTCGTGATTTCACTGGAGTTTTCAGACGCCTAGAGGAAGAGGCTCAAGCTGCTCAGTCATCAGAGAGCATGAATGAGAGCTTCCACGTTGACGAGTAACGTGCGAGGAGCTGCGGGTCCAAATGCTATGTCTGGGTGCGGATCACCATTGTAAATAGTCTCGGAGCTGATGTTCTAATGTGAAAAATAAATAAGTCTTCGATTGAAGGCGCGTTATAGCATCAAAAGCCGGGCCGCAGCCTTTTTGTCGACCTGGAGCCGAACTCAGTCGATTTGTCAGATCTGTGAACGCAAGCCTTAAGGGAGATTCGTGCAATGCAGATAATTGGAGTCAATCTTTTTTTTGTCGGTGACGATTATCCCAACATCCGTGATCGGAAAAACGAAAGAGGTTGTGTTCTGACTCCCCGCCAGCGAACGGCGAACCGAACGCGCGACCGGCCTTGGCGGGCTCTGCTTTCGTCATGACTTCCCCAAGTTTCGACGCCACGTCGAAATGGATCTAAATCAGAATCGAGTCGGAATTCCCCGAATTCTTTCCGCAGATATGGCCTAGTATAGGGGACCCCATTTGGTTCAGAAACTTCCCGAGCAAATGGCGCTATCTTCTCGTGTTGCGGATCTGATCGCCTCAAACGCCTTGGAAGACATCTGTCAAGGATTTCTCTATCACAACTTTCGGCAGTTTGCAGCGTGCCACATCCTTGATCGGTGTGGGATCATGATCGAGACCTGATGACATGTTTCGTAAGGGATGGATGCTCGTACTTGTGCTCCATACAGAAAGCATTGAATAATACGAGTTTTAAGAAGGAGAAGAAGAACGGTCGCGGACGCTCCTACTCCTAAGGTTTGGAAGACGATCGATTGAAGAGCGGTCGCGAAATGCATGTCAGGTATTGATTTATTACTGGAAGGAGTTCTTTTCACAAAACGATGAGTTCGCATTTTCCTCTTCTGCTTTCTGGTCAACTCCAACGGGGACCGTGGGCATGTGAGCCATTGCTTTCATTACTGATGGGAGAAACGCTTGATCAGCTTCATTTCTATGTATATCTTCGATGAGCACAATGTTCCTTAACTTAAAAATTGGTGACAATCCGAACGCCTAGAAGCAAATGTTGGGGGCGAACGCACTGTCGGAATAATTGGAAAATATGAAATTCATTCTTAGATCAACAGAAAGAGTCAACTGCGAACGGTTTCCCACGAGAGTCCCTCATCGTCGACTTGCGGCTTCTCGCAGCTTCTCGGTGATCATTTGACCGAGCTCTCCGGCCAAAATCCACTGACCAACATCGTTTCCCGGCACTTCGTATTTCTTCATACAGTTCTGAAGCTTTTCAATGTCCTCCGGCTGGCATTCCCTCAAAACGTCGTCGATAATATCTAATTTCTCGATGAACACCGCATCCCCAAGACCTCGTTGCCTCACGAGAATGAGCTCGAGATGGTCAAAAAGTGAAAAAAGTAATCGAATACAAAATTCTCTGTGGCCACCGAGCCGCCACAAGGCTCCGATACTCCTCAGAACGAGGAGACGTCCCTTCCGAATCCCCAGGAGATATTCGGGCGCGGGGCCCAGTCTTTTAACGAGGTCCTGAGCAGCCAGAATCTTCTCCTCGTAACTTGTCAACACTTCGGGGTCCTCAATCTTCAGAACAAGGCTGAATCCTCTCTCGGTGTCCATGAGAAGTTTCCGGAACAGCAAGAGATCGGTATTGGCAGGAACGGTCCTGCCGTCACCATCGTCGAGTTTTCGCGATCCGGCCATATCAAGGATCTTCTTGGGCGCATGCGCGGTCGACGAGTGAAGTTTGCCCAAGGAGTTCTCAAACTGCTGCGGTTCACGAGGGCTGTCTACTGTTCGCTGGATGCGTTGCGTCAATAATTTGTTCCTACAAACAGCTTTTCCCTGGCTTTTGCGTTTCATGAATTCCAGGTAGTAATAGTCTTGCTCTTGAGGACATTGCATATTCAACGAAAGCATCTGAACCCGAATGACGAATTCTTTCTCCCTTTCGGCCATTAGCCCGCAATAAGGGTCGTCCGATCGGGGAACGGCTTTGGTTTCCTGTTCCTGCTGGAGCTCGTGGACAGCGTCGAAACCAAATGTCTCCACGTCGCGTTTGTTGTACCGACCCGCGTTCCGCTCGTGGAAATCATTCGGCGAATGAGCGTTGCCGTGCCAGTTCTCCCCTCGTTGCTCAGAGTACCTCCCATCGTCCCGTCGATAATCTCGCGGTCCTTGATCCCGGAAACGCTGATCGCGAAAGTCCGGACCTCGTTGATAATGACTCGAGACAAGGGCGGGGTGTCCTTGGGGGAAACGGAAACGGCTCCCCATGGGGGCACTGTTCATGGCGGGAGGGATATTCTGGAAATCCGAGAACCTGGAGGAAAAAGTATCATATCAGACCTGTGAGAATCGGCGGGAGGATAGTTCTTTCAGGGAAAACCAGACGGGGAGGTCGGCAACTACATTCCTCCATCCCAAGTTTCTCGAAGGTCCGAAGCTTTTTGGGAACTCTCAATTCTAGGGGAACTTACCGTTCGTTGAAATTCTGCGGTGGTGGAGGGAAGGCTCCTGCGGGTGGATTTCTGGATTGCCGAAATCCGTTAGGAGCGGGAGCCTGCGAGGGGTCAGCGATCGGTTGCAGCACAGAAGGATTACTCAGATGAGGTTCTGTATTCAAAGGCTTTCTGTCGAGCTGCCCTATCTGTTGCATCAACTGCAAGTGCTGCTGCGCTTGCTGCTGTTGTTGAAACTGTTGTAAGTGCGGCATCTGCTGGAGATGTTGCGGATGGGCCTGCCGGAGGATCCGGGGTTGTTGTTGCAGCTGCTGTAGCGGCGGGAGGTTCTGCGGCAACGGCTGGTGAGCTCGTACAAGATTCTGTTGGTTTTTTTGTGGTGGTGGCGATGGCTGCCGCTGTTGCGCTGGAAGAGCTTTCGTCCGTTGTTTACCTTGCTGTTGGAGGAACATTTCAGACTCGAGTTCTTCCAAAGTTTTCACCTGGGGTGGTGGCGGTGCGGGTGGTTGGGATCGCCGGCTCTCCTCGAGCATTTGTTTCTCCAGTTGCTCGGCACTGACCACCATGGGTGGAATCATCGGAGTCCGAATCAGGGTTCGTGCTTGTAAAACTGCCTGGTGCGGACCCTGTATCAAGCTCAGCAGCTTCTGAGGTGGCATTGATTGAGGCGTGACAGGATGTCCTGGCAACGGGACAGCGCTAACATGTCCCGCAAGCGCTGGTGGAGGATAGCCCGATCGCTGCTGCGTGAAGGCCGCAGCGGGGGGCTGAGACGCGAAGTTCCTGACTTCCTCGTCCAATCCGAGCTGGGAGATTGAAGTGTTGACGATGTCCTCAATATGTTGGGCGTTATGCTGCTGCGACTTGATGGTTTCCTCGAGTTGGGCCGCGAGAACATCATGGTTCTCTTCCCAGGCGTCGTCGATTCCCGCGTCTCCAAATGTCTCGTCGTTGAGCGCGTCATACTCGTCTTCCTTCACGTCCTGATCGACACAAAGCGTCGACTCCATATCGGCAAGGGGCAAACGTCTCCGCTCTTGCTCATTTGCGGGACAGGCGTTCGAGCATTATCCGTCGACGGTCAATTTGATTGGATGTTTACAACAACTTTCTCGATAGTCAGGGAAGCAGCCGACAGATAGCCAGTGCAGAGGCGCGGCAGCGGAACGACACCAGCGCCAGAACTACTGTAGAAGATGTTTGCGAAGAACTTTGGTCCCGAGCGATCGGAAAATCTGACCCCTATCAGAGCAGACCCGACGCGCTAGGGGACTCAGACTGATCATCCATGCAACCGGCCTGCGGACAGAATATCCTTCACGGCTCGGACCCTTTCGACAACAAAGGCCCCTTCGTCGCGCGCGACCTTCCCGCCACGTTTGGCGCGGAAGTTCGAATTTGTAAACAAAGTTCCGGTCCCATATCAGATGACGTGAAAGTTGTTCTCAGAAAGCTCAGAGATCTTCTTCTCTTCGATCAAACGTCCCTATTGTGATCGAAGATCCCCTCTCAGGTCGGATGACGTAGACGCCGCTTCCCGAGAGGCGGCGAAGCGTCGGGTCGCATTCTCACAATAGAGGAGGGAATGAACAGCGATCTGAGCGAGAGACCCACGTGCGACTCCAGCCGGATGTTTTGGTTCTTCATCGCGCTGACAGGAAAGTCCGGAATTTGATCCAACGCGATCATTCGGTACGTAGAAACTCTGGATAATTCCTTCATCGTGGTTCGACGAAGTTTCCAGTTGGATGTGACATATGATGCTCGAGATGTAGGAACAGCCGGAAAAATATGATTCCTCATTAGGTGATCGTTATACCGCTCTCTTGCTCAGCGCGACGGTGCGCATCATGAGCTGGAACGGCGGGTACAACTCCAGGGGTAGGGGCAGAGGAGGGAACAGAGGAGGGAGCAGAGGCAGAGGTCGGGGAAGTGGACTCTACTTCGAAGATAGGTAAGCCCGTCTATCGACACCGCAACTCATTTCTATATCATCCGAAGCTGGAACCGATAGCTTGAGATTAGGGATTCCAGGAGAGGCTCTAAACGTCCATCGGATTACCACGAAGATTTCGATCAAGAAAATGGAGCGAAACATTCCCGCGAAGAGCGAGAAGAAATTCATCCAGATCTGGTCCCATTGAAAAATTTCCTATCCCAAATGAAGGCACACCTGAAAGCCCAAAAGATGGACAAGGAAGAGCAAGGTTATTCAATCCGATGCTTATCGCGCAGTCAGTGATTAATCTATCCAGCGAGTCGCTCACTGATCGTTCCAGATCAGAGGCGTTCAGAATACGGAGGTACCTGGTCTAAGCGCAAACTTATTCTCCCAACGCAGGCCTGATGATCTCGAATGTATTGAAACAAACCGCCGGCAAAGAAGCGTTACTCACGAAAAGTGACTCCTATCACCTGAATGGCAACGTGGCCCAATTTCTGGCCCAGTGTACGGAGCCGAAAGTCGTGGCGAGGTTCATGCAAGCCTTCAATTTGGAGAAAGTGATACCGAGCCACAAAACTATGAAAATATTCGAGGCTCTTGTCGATGCTGCGATGAACTTCTTCAGAAACCCGGCAGAGGTGCGTGACAATCATCTGAGCTGGAGAGAAGCTCCGGTACTCTTGCTGTCAGCTCCATGATTTCAAGGGCGAAGGGTAGGTTTGACGAATATTCGTCTGATTGACTCGTCTCCTAAAGTTCCCCTTGATGTTGCGTTTCAGTTCGAATCTGAGGACGATGAAGAGGCTTCGGATGTGGATTATGGCGCCGTTTTCATTCGATGGCTTAATTCTCTGGCTCTTCACGTTATGGACAAGATCGAGATATTTCTGAACGAAGAAACGCTTGTCATGCAGAGAGTTCTCTGTATGATATGCGGGAAACGCTTCGTGAAGTCTTTCGCTGACGGAGTGGATTCTGGTTAGTTCAATCTGGGAGGTGAAATACACGTTCTCGTTGGAGTTTAGCCCACCGAAGCATTTCGGAAGACCTTGATGAACGGTCGCGTACTATAGCTGTTAATCGTTTTCCTTTGATCAGAGACTCTAGGGATCGCGTCGGACTTGGAAAAGGTACGCGAGAGGTACTTCCATTACCTAACGAAGGAGGCAGATCTCGAGTCTCTGATGCGAAATCCGCAAGCTCGCTTCGTAGTTGCACTATCGGTCTGTCTGGCGGCGTCGATGGGAATGAGGAAAGTTTTCAAAAGGTTCCTCAAACTGATTTCTGGGTGAGTCTGGCGTCCCTTGACCAGAGGGGGTGTGGAGGAAAAACTACCGCAGTATCCCTCCAGAGTTTCGCATCTTTGAACCCTGTACTGCGGGAAGGCGTGCAGTGACGTGATCGATTAACGAATGACGTAATCGAATTAATTACAGGGAAAATGCTGAGTCTATCCTGCTATGCGAAGAATCATTCATCGTAGTGGACGCCATCTTGAGGAATTCGTCCACGTTCGATCTACAGCGCAAGTGCTCTGAAAAGATCCTGGAGATGGCCGACAAAGTTTCCGAGACGAACCCAGGAATTATCACTGGAATGATTGCAGGTCTCAAGGACAAAGACGAGGTACTGGTCTTATGTTTCACAAACATTTGCTGATGTCGAATTTATCCGCTTTCCTGATAGTTTCGGGCCTAATTGTCTAATTTGTGTTTCAGTTCGTCGACTTATACGAGAAATTATCGGGGAAATTCACTCTCGAGCTCCTCACGAAAAAGGCTGAGTTGGCTTCAGCCTGTCTGAGATTCGACATGAAGCAAAACGATTTCTTGGATAAATTATACGCTCAAATGAAGCTGAAAGAGCCGGGTGAAGAGAACTTCATTTTCCTCGTCAGGCACCTCGGTCTTTTCCAAGTTTTCAAGGTCATCTGTAACTTCAAAGCTAATCAGAAAGTCTTGAAGGCGCTCGACGACCTTTCGTCGCAGGAGCTGATGAATTTGGCGTGCAGTTCTCATGTGAACCTACTCGAGGCCATCATATCGAGTGAAAGAATCGGGGAGAAAGTCAAATTGAAGATGTTGATCAAACTCACCGATAAATTCCAGAACATAGCGGTCGACAAGTTTGGAAGCCGACTCATGGACGCGGTGAGTTGGAGTCGATCGAAGTCTGGCCTTTCATATGTTCCCGTGTCTTCTATATATGGGTGGACCAAAAGCGAAGCGAACGAGGTTCGATAGGAATCGCTGATTTCCAGTTTATTCGGACACGGAATGAATCTTCAGTTCCCAGCCTCCTGATGACTCGATTCACCGGCGAGATGTCTTCCACATTTCACAGGTAATCATACAATGCCAAGTGAAGACTCTGAGAGTTGTCGCCGGAGAGCTGGTCAAACACAAGAAGACCCTTCTCGGAGACCGGATCGGGAAATTCGTCTTTCTCCATTGGGGCCTGAAGTACTTCGAAGATAACAACAAAGAAGCATGGGACAATGTGATTTCCCACAGCAAAAACCGAAAGCGACAGAAACTTCTTTCTCTGCTCTCATTGTAAAATCACTGAAGGATACAGGGGAAGAGAGTTGCTCAGAATCCGCTTCCGCTCTACGGGAATCGCGTTTTCGTTGTGGAACTCTATTGAATAACATACGCATGTAAATGAATTGAATATATAAACATTACGTTGTTCGATACGACAGAAAACTTGCGCCGAATGTTCTCCAGGAGTTTTCGAAGACGACATTCGATAGGAGCCGAGCGCGACAATTGAGTATTTTAAGTAGTCCACCGGCGCTTTGGAGAGGCTCGTAGTTCAGGTGAACCCACGGACGTTCACTTTCTGATCGGATGCCGGAGCCGACCCGCGTTCCGAGCTAAGGAGTGGGGAAATGACATCATGTGTTGACAACAGTTGCCTTGGAAAGGGTGAATCAGACTGGCAGTCGCGGCAGCATTCACAGAAGTTTTTATCGAGGCTCCTTCCATCCGATAACGGTTCAAGAAGCGGTCAACCCAAGTACGACCAGCTCTGAACGGAAATAATTCGTGAAGTGATCCAAAAGGGTGAAAAATGGAGTTCAGCCAGGCATGACAGATAAATTGAAGGTCCGAGGGGAGAGACACTATCCTTGCCGGGATTTGAATCGCGCGCGGAGAGGGACGAACGCGATCAGCTGATATTCGAATACAAGACCGATCGAGCCCGGTCGCGTGACTTTGTTTAGATGGCGTCTTCTCCGGGAACGTCGCCCCTGCGGTGGAAAACGTTCGGAAGGCAACCCCAAGCCGCTATGGTTTGATGCGCATCGTCCGCGGCCCCTCGCTTGCCCTAGTAGCGGAGCCCCAGAGGGTGAGGGACTCCAGGAAGGGACTGAAGAAAGACAGCCATTGTGTAACCCGCCGTCAAGCGAGAAGCGCTCACTTCCACTGCTCGGGTCGCTTGGCCAACAAGCGAATGGTTAGAGCCCGCCATGAATCCCCTGCACATGCACGCCAACTACCAAAAATACCAAGATGTCACACCGTTGAGAAAGAAAACCATCAGTTCTAGCATTAATAGCAGGTAAGTTCGATCGGGTGCCGTGTTCCGATCAATCTCAGTCAGTGACAGCTTAATGTGAGTCGGGAGTGACCGTGACCAGCGGTGTATGTGACAAATCCAATCGCTCCGTGAACCCCGGTCGACGTCAGTGCCTCTGCTCGACACGGATCAGTCAGAGCTCTTTGAAGTTCTCCGTTCGTGAACGTTTGTCTGAAGTTTCGTGAACTTTCTTCGGCGTGACAGCGACCCCGCACAGCGACGGTGAACAATAGCGCTCCAGGTTGACCGTCGACGTCGGGACCAGTGATGTCGTAGCTTGCATTCGTCTTCCCATTCACTCGAACGAATCGAAAAATCTGTGGCCCTCATGGGAGCTGTTCAACCTTTCGCGTAGCTTCCGAAGGTTTCTTTTCACTCGGATTGAGCGCTTCAGCCGCCTCCTACGACTGAGTCAGCCGGTTAACGCAATGTCTGACCGGCGACCGACATTGATTATTGCGCAACACCATAGATACCGCAGCCGACTGAGCGAGTGTTGCAGGAGCAGCGACGAAAACAGCACCCCTGCAGTCCACTTACGCATCAACGATGTTCAGTTATGTAACAAAATCACAACTGGCTCCTGGCTTTCGGCTCCCGCGCTTGCCCCTCGGAGTCGATGATTGGGAACTCGCCTGTGTTAAAATTGATTTCGTTCCTTGAGGGAGCTATTTTGCATAGTTCGTGGCGACTTTGATCACTGCCCGACAGCTTTGTATTTCCATGCGTTCCCTCGATCTGGAGTCATTGGCTCCAGATAAAGTCCAAGTGATCCATGAGAATTTTTTTCTCTAGACGTCAAGAACGATTCCGATCGGAGCTGCTCCCGAATGCTTGCCCGTGGAACACGCAACGATCCAACTGCAGCTCTCACAGCGTGTCCTCTCCATAGCGGCAAGGGACTGTTTGTGTCTTTTCTGGTGGTAATGGTGGCGGTGCTGCTGCTGCTGCTCGATACTCGATAATTCCATCCTTTAGTGTGCGTTCGGTAGGTGTTTACGGCAGCGAACGAGCTGAAACATATTGTCAGTTTGCTGGAGGAAATTCGGGTATTTACCTTGTTGAACGAAGTGTTTGATGCGCTCATGTCTGATGCCCTAAGTGCGCGTTGTCAGCCGAAGAGAATCGCGGTGTTGACTCCCCGACCGTCTGACCGTGCTGACGGCTGTTACCATCAATGTCAGCTTCGTTGGTGCCGGTGGTTTTCGGCGGCTCCTCGCTCCACATGCGTGAAGACGGCTCGAGCGAGCGTTCTTCGTGCGAGTCCACACACATTGCGTCGAACAACTCCTCGGAAAAACCATAAATCGATCCATATTCTCCCTTCGGACTGGACGGAAAGTAGAAACAAAATTTTGACGTCTAGATGGTGATGAACTTCCTCGTCAGCTTCGAGGATATTCTGTGATGTTTGCATCGGCACAGGAAATCTTCCGCATAGGTGTCGGTAATTTTCGATTGTCGGCTCGAGGTTTCCCGGTCGACCCTTGTGCGGTGAAATCTTTATCGTCAGTAACCAGTTCTCGGTTGTATGATACAGTGCTCCGATGTGAGTATCGGGCGGAGAGACATTGTTGGAGATGTCGATCCGGTCTGTCGGCGGTGGATTGTGTTTCTCTCTGCGATGATGAGACGGGTCGAGCTTTCTATCTTGATCGTCTAATCGTGACGGACCCTGGAATCTGACATCAATTCTAGACGATGCTCTATCGCAATCAAATCAGGAACGATATCGGTTGAAGCGCTCTCGCGTCTCCCACGCGGTTTCTCACGACCGGCTCAACTGATTCAATACTCAGCTCCAGCGAGGAGGATCGAGAGCTCGAATCGTTCGCTGGGAAACGCGCGTTTCGCGCAAGAGATCGTTCCGCCGCAACTCAAACTGAAGAAATATCCTCCGCGGAGTGTCGAGTGGAAAACAATTTCCTGCCCCATCCGCATCATTGTGTTTATACAGCTAACGCGCTTCAACCTGATTCCTTCCAGTTCTCCGTTGTCTTCGCCATCTATCAAGTCCAACATGCGTCGTGTTTTCGTCACGGGAGTCGGCATGACCCCCTTTGCCAGACCAGGAGACAAGAAGAGAGACTATCCGGTTCTGGCCCGCGAGGCGGTTACCGCGGCGCTGGCCGACGCGCGTCTACCGTACTCTGAGGTTCAACAAGCCGTCTGTGGTTACGTCTACGGAGATTCGACGTGCGGTCAGAGGGCACTCTACGAGGTTGGACTAACCGGAATTCCTATCTACAATGTAAACAATAACTGTTCCACTGGATCAACCGCACTGCTCCTGGCCAAGCAGCTGGTCGAGGGCGGACTCTCCGAATGCGTGCTAGCCGTAGGTTTCGAAAAAATGGACCGTGGTTCCCTCACGAGCAAGTTCCGAGATCGCGCAAACCCTGTCGAGACTCACGCCAAGGTCTTGGCGGCGACTTACGGCATTTCTCCGGCCCCGATGGCGGCTCAGATGTTCGGAGCAGCTGGGATGGAGCACATGGAGAAGTACGGCACCACAAAGGAACAGCTGGCTAAGATCGCCGTCAAAAATCACAAGCATTCGGTCAATAATCCGAATTCGCAGTTCCGTACCGAGCATACCCTCCAGGAAGTGTTGGAGTCTCCGGAGGTTTTCGGTCCACTGACGAAACTCCAATGCTGTCCGACTTCCGACGGAGCCGCAGCCGCGGTTCTCATGAGCGAAGACATGGTTAGACGGCTAGGTCTCCAGGACCAAGCGGTGGAGATTATCGCGATGGAAATGGCAACGGACCTGCCGTCGACATTCGAGGGAAAGTCCTGCATAAAAATGGTCGGCTTCGACATGACTAAAACGGCCGCCGAGCGTGCTTTCAGGAAGACCGGACTGACACCGAACGATGTCCAAGTGATCGAACTCCACGATTGTTTCAGTGCCAATGAGCTCATCACGTACGAAGCTCTGGGCCTCTGTCCAATCGGTAAAGCCGGTGAATTCATAGACAGAGGGGACAACACATACGGCGGAAAATTCGTTGTAAATCCGAGTGGTGGTTTGATTTCGAAAGGGCATCCTCTCGGGGCAACTGGCTTAGCTCAATGCTCTGAGCTGTGCTGGCAGCTCCGTGGCAAAGCCGGTAATCGTCAAGTACCGGGGGCGAAAATCGCGTTGCAACAAAACGTAGGTCTTGGCGGTGCCAGCGTCGTTGCCCTGTATCGACTCGGCTTCCCGAAATCGAAATTGTAGATGTTGAAGTCTGCCGATCAGATCGGGTGTTGTTTATCTTTTTCCATGCCTGGTTCGCTCTTTTATTGAATATATTATTATCTATATATATGAATACGAGTCTACATCGTTGAGATGAGAAGAGGGAGAAATTATAATTTTACGGACTTCTTGTCAGATTCAAGGGTCCATTGTAAGGAAACAGATGATGGAAGCGCTAAAGGCTCTTCCTCTATCGAAAATAAATATTTTCATTAAAAAACGCCTCTTACCTCAGCCGGCAGCAAATTTCTTCAAAGGAGCGAGGGACAGAATCCGACATTCGATGTCCGCTTGAATATCCGTCGAAGCAAGCAGAAAGTGAGGAAATAAAACGACCGATGACCTTTTCGGGAGGTGCCTACATTCGCGGGCAAGGGCGATGGAATGAATTGGGCGAGACACATTCGGTTGCTTCCCAGAACCTACGTCTCTGTCTGTGACGGAAACTTGCTTATCCTCATCTATGCGGAGTTTCGAAAACCGCAAATGACTACCACAGTCGGTTTCGTAGAGCGAGACAGAGGTGGAATTTTTCTTCAGAATTATTACAGTGCACAAGCTTCCATTCTATCTCGTCGGGGTCGATCCACATGCAGGTCACCTCCTCTCGACGCGGGTCGGGACTACGCTTAGACATATCGAATACGCAGAAGTTCTCCTCAAACACCTGAACGGCTCCGCGAAGGAGACGGTTTATACAACGAGTGATCGTTCAATTTACAAAATGACTGAAACAACACCATTATCTGAGATGGGAATGTGTTGGCCAGGCTCCCGATGCCAAGTATTTCCGGGCTCGTTCAATGGATACCTAGTAATCCAGCTCCCCATGCAGGGAGATACGATCACGGCATCGGTATCACGAAACCCGAGGGCGGCAGCAATTGAGTACAAGCAACCTCGCAGAACTTTCCTAGCAGGCTCCGGTGATCGGTCCTATCAGAAATGACAGTTTCTGAGGCAGTAAGCCAACTCGAGTGAATTTTCAGGCGTCTCTGCAACTGTCACCCGGTGAATGAGGTTAGTATATCTCGGACGTCTCGGAACCAGCGAATTTCAAGAAAGCTTTGAGAATGTAAACAGACAGGAGCGAGAAGATGGGCGGCGGAACATTCCGACTTCCGAGCAGATACTATCCGCTGCGTCCATTGCTCACGAAAATTTCGACGCAAACGAGCTCAAGAGAAAGACAAGGCAGGAACGAAGCAAACGCAGATCTCATGAGAGAGCGGGGGGACGAAACATGGAACTTACGGAGGAGACAAAGAGGCCGAGCTCAGAAACAAGTGGGCCGAGTCACGTTGTGGGTCTCTGGACGAGGACGCTTTTATCTCAATCTAACTAATTGTAAGTATCATATTTACGTATCGAGCATATCTACAGAGGCAATCCCTAGGAACTTCCGACACTAACGGGACTGAATCGCGATCCTTGACGGCGACGTCGATCGAGGGACAGAGGCGTCAATCACTGGAATGTACGTTTCATGCTGATATACTCCCTTTTGTCAAGGAAACGGGATGCTACATGTAAGAGAGCATATGACGAATGCAAGCGATCGATTCGAAATGTCGGAACATGCGCGATTCTCACAGTCGTGGACTCTCTCAAGGTTTGAAATTATAGCAGCAGTTCCTCACAGATTCTCGGGGGGACCTTCTTCTCTTCATCCTCCTCTTCAAGCAGCTCCGCAGAAAACTTCATGTACAAGTTATAGGCGATCGATGCGGAGGCGCACAACGATAGCATGCAATAGCTATAACAAAGAGGGAACACCAACGCCTTCTCTTGGAACTGAAAGATAATTCCGGAGACGTGAGGACTCGATAAGGGTGATCAGGATTCTTAACCCTGAGCTGAGTTCCGGTGAATCCGAGATTCCCCGGATTCATACCACCCTCCAGAACGTCGGATATCGAATGGGATAATTCAAAGTCGGAGCGCGAGTACTAGAGACGGAGTAATGTAGAGTTTACCTTCTCAATGGTGAGAGTGACGACAGTGATAGCCATGCCGACATTCTGTATGCCGCTTTCGATGGCTATCGTTCTCCGAGCGGGCGCAGGTCGATTAGTGACCAGGGCGAATATGTACCCAACTACCAAACCTAGGAAGTTAAGATAGAATGAATAATCACATACTATAATCAATAGATCAGGCTGTCACATCCGTCACAGTATTGTCGCCACGTATAAACAATAGTAACTCAATGAGAAACTCACCAGCAATCGGCAATATGGCGACCGCGATGAATAGTTTCGCAGGAACAGTGGAAAATATATTCGGGTATATGAGGAAGATCATCACTTGCGCAACACCTATCATCGCGAAACCCGCTAAGGATCCAAGCTGTGAGAAAAGCAAGGCTTCGCTTCAGGAATCAGTGATCTCGAAAATATGTAGCGACTCAAGTACCGGATTGGATCAGACTATTGTCGTAGAGTATGGATGTTTCACGACTCTACGGACCTTTGTTATATAAGGAGCGACTTTTGGGAACTTGTAGAATACCAGCATTCCCAAGGCGGCTGGAGCCGTGACGTACATCAAAGATCGCACCATCTTTAGGTAAGGTATGTTGACTTCCGAATTGTTTTCCAAGGAGTGTCCATAGACATACATGTTGAATGGCATCATGAGCATCGCCACAACCGTGGAGCAGACCGTCATGGAGATGCTGAAAGCAGAAGTTACTTTTGCATGCATACATGTACATCGAGCGAATCAGCGATATGGTAGGGACATTGCTGGCACCAGGACGTGCGAGATAATGAGCTCTACCTGAGAGGCACATCTCCATCCAGGTAGTAGGTGAATATATTCGACGTTGTCCCGGACGGTGAGCACGCGAGGATAAGCATCCCCACCGCGTAATAGCCTTCCACCGAGAATGTTTTCATGAGGAGAAAAGCCGTCGCAGGAAGGAGAACGAACTGCGAGAATAGACCAGCCATCACGGACCAAGGTCGTCTCAGATGGTGCATCAACTGAGGGGTGAAAGACATGGTGAGATTAGTATATGTCGAATTCTCTTGGCTCCGAGGCCGCTGACAGGATCCGCCCCCTGATCGTGATCGTACACGTCAGTGTGAGCTTAGAGAGACAACTAGTATGCCGTCATCTGTTTATAGGTTTATATAGATACGTATCGTCATCCCTCCTTGCTACATGGAAGCGTTGATTGAAGAGGAATGCATCGAACGAGAGATGAAGAGATCTCGAATGATCTACCACTAACCTCCTTCCAGCGTATTGTGCATCCCATCGAGAACATGATGAGAACCAAAATGCTGAGCACTGACTTATCATAGTACTTCTTGAGCCAGTGCGGCTCGGAGCTCCACTCCGCATCGAATGACGTTGAATTCATCGTGATTCCTTATGGTGGATCCTGTCGGCTCCGGCGTCAAATCACGCGGAATCGCGCGGAGAGAAATCGATGTCTCGTGGGGAACTTTATTTTCATTTGTTCCGAATCCTCTTGAATTCCTGAGGAGGGCGACAGCAGGTAAAAGGACGCGCTCTCGGTCGCTATCGGAAGTATTTAGCTCCAATTACCTGCGTGGGTCAGGGAGGATCTACAAACCATACAATCCGGCATATTTTAGGAAGTTTTCAAACGATACAATTCGCGGATCTATGGTGAGAGGCTCGAGTAGAGACCCGGCGGAATGCAAGATCTTGCAGAATCAGCCTACATGACGCTTTCTGACGATCGGAGAATCGGAGAAACCACTCCCAAAACTCTTTCTAACCACTTCTCTTTCGGGTTTCTACTCTTTGTGGAGCGCTAGAAATCTCATTCACAATGGGAGTCGTTCCCTCCCTCTAAATATTTGTATCGGAGCATTTTTTTCCTTGCCATCAGCGCGAATCCAATCAGAGCCCGGTGAATATAACCGGTGCAATCCGGCGTCATTCTCCGTGTTGTGAATTCCCGTTAAAACGTGAGAAGAATGATATCCATTGCACAGTATCACGCGTTTTCTCCCACCACTCAGTCACGGAGGAAATTCGGGGTTCGCGCTCCAAAAAAAATCATAAAAATCAGTTGTACCGGAACGTCCCAAAAGGCGTGGTGTTGACATCCGGTCGCGATCACGAGGAACGGATTGTCGGTTTTTCGTTGGACCTTCCCCGGCAATCACACTGAGGAGGGCCTGTTCTTGAAATTCAATCATGGGTCTCGATGGTGTATCAGACCCCTCCGCGGCCAGCCCCGACGTTGTCGACGCCGACACGTTGAGCAAGCAGACAGACAGGTGCGCGGGCAAGTTTCTTGAGTCACAGACAGCTCGGGGAGCGATAGCCCGGATCCTTACTTCATTGAACTCGGTTTCGAACGAACCTCTCGGGAGTGAAAGCCGATCTCCGATTAAAACATCTGTTTGGTGGACATTCCTGCGCTAGGGACACAAAGCCGTGATGATACAGTGACTCCAGAGAGCAAGTGAAGACATGCGAAGCCTTCGAAGAGACGCACACATGTCCCGCGATAGGAGCGTAACGTTAAATACGTGGGTTAAAGAGAGAGTTACATTGAGCGGAGAGTACTCTCGAGCTGCCTGTCCATCGAAGCGTCTGGCTGTCACTAAGACTATCCGTCCGTCTCTGAGGCTCTGTCGCTCGATTCTCCTTAGTCCGTTCGGATGGGCGGAATTTCATGCCTCCGTCGAATCGAAACTCCGTTTCACGGAAGCTACACTGGAGGTGATACCCGTTTCTCGATAACTTGTCACGTCTTCCCTGCGATGACATTCTGTGTTCGGATGCCTCAATCCATTGCAGAAAAGCTGAAATCTCCGCACTAAATGGCCGAAGTTGAGGGGCGCCGCCGTTGAGCGATTCCAGTAAGTCGCCACATTATGCTCCGCGCCGGTTCGGAACTGATTCACAGAAGTGAGCACCGACAGAGCGGGAAAACGGGGAGAGACGTCCGACAAACAAATGATTCTCAGCACATTTCGGACAGACGGGATCGTATATCGCTCATTCCAGGATTTCCTCGAATCTCGACTCCATTCCGAGGAAACTTCATATCCAAATCGTTGTCTCGAACATGAGACTCAGTATTCAGAGTCTGAGGCTCTTTCTGAACACAGGGGACGCAATGCTCTGCACAGAGAACGCGACGCTCGAGACTTCACGAAATACGAATTAGGGACAACTTTCTCTTCGACATCCGGTTGAGAGCGGAGTGGTTCACTGACTATCATTCGGAACTTCAAGAATCCGGAATCACACGAGGGAGGCTCAAGAGGAAAATTTTCAATGTACTCACCGACTCTAGTGGGAGGCTTTTGTCCTGGAATCGCGGAGCTGTCCGGTTATAAACACCTCTTTCTGTTGTTGTGGCAGGAGAGATTTCCCTCACCGGCGTTTTCTCAAAAAATCAAACGGAACGAAAGAAAACCCATAAAAAACAGAAGATCCGGAGAGAAAGTCATAGGGCGGGCTGTTCCCTCTGTCGCCCCCTCTGTTGCAAGACTGGTACAACGAAGTATTCCCCAGAAGGGAGCTCGAATTTCGGTCTCCGCGAGTTCTTCCACGAGCAAGTCGATTCGAAGATCGTCCGCTGTCGGATGCAAAGGTTTCCAAGGAAATCAAGCCTCGGAGTCGATCTTTCGGGGATAGCTGACCAGCATGATGTCCGGATTCCGGTCCAGCGAACGATTGGAGCATCCGCCGAGAATGGAATCCGTATCCAAGGTTTGCCGAATTAGGAATCAGCGAGAGGAAGATTAGTGTGCCCGTAGAGCATTGCTGCGACGGACGGGTCTTAATTCCCTGACTCGGCGGGAAGATCACAAGGCGTGGAGTCTTCTATCGAAGCTTCGAGAAAAAAACATTCGCTCCTCCTGAAAACCTGGAAGAGCAAAACAAATCGTAAGCACCCTTTCGCGCAGCGTGAGTTTCCCAGAGCGAAGCTCCTACTCGAGCGTCCGGAGGCGCTTCGATTACGGACAATGCCAAGATCTGCGTGTCCCCGAGCATTACGTGTTGACGGCAATCACGGCAACAAACCTTAACACACGGGCACACTTATTCACGAATACCACTTCCGTTTCGTCAACGGCCGACCCTCGTTTGCCTTGATCTTGGCTGGCAGAATTGTCAAAGAACGTGAGATAGTTTTTCTTCTCGCGAAAGTTGACGATTTTTTGCTTTCCTCCCCCTTGCTAAGAATATATTTGGCGCCGCATTTTTCGCTATTCGAATGCCGAATCAGACCATTCGTGCAATCCGGAGAATCCAAAGTCCTATACGCTCCTCGAGGTCGCTCGAGGATGCTCCAGGCTCGACCTAGGCGGGATATTGTCCGCCAGACTTGTCAATGTTACGATTCTGACGGCACAATGTCGGTATGACTTTCTCCATATAATCTCTCGCGGAGCTCTGACGACCAGTATAATCTGATGAACCTCATTGTGCGACGTCTGGGAGGTTCTCCTGTTATTTGCAGCTCCGGATGTTTTCGTCCCGCTTCCCGGCCGCGACCGAGTGAGAAAACCGGGCGAAGCGGCTGACAGACGAAGTGGCAGAGAATAGGAGAAGTACAGACTCGCTATAACGGAGCGATTCTGTATCCCTTTTCTCCGACTGACCTCGTATTACCCGATACTGAACGTGATTACCGGGTCCGTATTACGTGGCAGTTTCCACATTATTGACGCGACCTACAGTTACGAACGACGGCGTTGAATAACGCTTGTCAGAAGAGGAATTATGGAAATTATGGCGCACAAAAGGAATCCGGAAGCCTTTGAATCGTCAGTTCGACGGGAGCTCCTCGGAGGAAGCACGGAGAGACTTTCGAAATTCTCGGACAGACACGAGCCAACTCTCATGGAGATGACTGGTTCCAGTCGACCTGAGACCTCTATCCTGACCCCTCAGTGTGTCGCGGATCCGACCCCGGAACCCATAGAAGAAGGATCAACATTGCCCTTCGGTTTCGAGGAGGAGGAGTAGCCACGAGGATCACGCACTATCCTGCCAGAAAGGCGAATCAATTCCGAACGCAAAGCAGACTCAGTCCCTATGAGGATCGAAATAGTCAGAAGAGCCAAATCTACCGCAGACAGATCGACCGCCGCGAAATTTTCTTCACGGGAACATTGCCGATGTCGGCTGGATGCGTGGTGAACGTAGCCATTCCTCGCATGAGATTTCTGAATTCTTGGAGCTCCGCTACGGTCCGAAACGATGTCATCGAAAGTTCTTGAGCCCTCAAAATATCCGTCAAGCGTAACGCCTGGGTTCTGTTTGGTATCCCGATTGACTCACGTCTGGATAGCCCATTTCATTCAGGAGCGGGAGCCCGCAGTGTTGTAATCGGGTAAGGAAGGAGCGTCCAACCCGAGGCAGCTTCCTTCCAGGGCTGGATTGCTGAGCATTACGATTAACGGATGCTCGCTCCTCGAGATATGCCCCGGGGAGAATCTCCTCTCGGACGCGATGTCCGGAGAGATTGCGATCACGATGAAGCCAAGTCATTCAAACAACGCTTTTTCGCTCATGAAGTTCCTTACTACACAGTTATTGGGAAGACGACTCGAGAACCAGGGATTGCGCGTCGGGGATTCTAGAATCTTACATATTAGAGTCCTTGCTCGTGTTCTCATCATTTCGGAACTTCGGGTGAGTCAATCGAGCAATACGCAATTCCGAGCGAAAAAGATTCTCGCTTTCTATGCTTCGGGTCACAGCGGTGTAGTCATATCCTACGACGAGTCATCTCCTCCTGGACCACTTGATGTTGTTGAGGCAGTCCGACAGAAAGCTGCCTATGACTTCGCATCACATAGCATGTCATCCTCAGTTTTTTCCTTGTAGGGTCGTTCAAGACTGAAATCTCCCCTATTGCCGGCCCGATTCCATCGTCTTTCGGCTGAAGAATGGTATTCGCCGTCGTCGGCGATGATCAGGATAAATCTACAAAAGAGCAGAAGAAAAGGAAGCAATCTGGTCAAGGTTCAGCGGTTAATTTCAAAGAGAAGCAAGGAAGAGCGCCTCTTGATTACTTTGTAACGAGCTCACTCAGTGTCAACCCCTTCCAGACGACGACCACTCTCGATCAAAGCCTCGCGACTGCTTCCAGATGACTAATAATTCGGAATCAGTCACCTTGACTTGACGGGCCTTCCGTCTCATAACAATCTCGCGTTTTTTCCACTCCACGGTGCCTATCATTATTTACCGAATCCAGCTCAATCACATTGTAACCGCATGGTTATGCGTATTCAGGGCCAGATCATGAGTTCGGGCTGTTCATCATCAGTCTGCGGAGATCGCAATCTCCGAATCCCTTTCCGGGTACGAGGGAGAGATGAGATGTATCTCATTGATGCATATATGTTTTTCATTGATACATACATGTATCCCATGAATAACTTCAGAGCTCATATATGTAGATCGTCGAATGTGCTTGGCGGTCATGGTCGGTGGCTCTGAATACTCTGATCCGTACAAAGCTGCGTCCGCTTAGAATTTATCCGAGGAATGACACATATATCATTACCGCTGGAGAAAGGAGCAGCTCACGAGGGGGAGATCTTCTAACTTCGTTGAAGGAAGGGACAGTGGAGCACCGAAAGCAAACAACAGAGTCAGTC